TCTTTCTTTACACTTTTAAAGAAGACTTCTGTTGTATTTCTCAGAATTTCCTGCTCCACACCTTTTCCACGGTTCTCTTTTACATAAAGAAAGATTGTTTCATTGTTGAAAGCTCTTGCCTTATTTCTTGAACATCAAACATTTTTTTTAAGATGGGAAAACTATTTTATTATTTAGATTTCTTTTCAATTTTTTTATTGTGATAAAATACACATAACATGAAATTTACCATCTTGACCATTTTTAGGTGCACAGTTCAGTGACACTAAGAACTTTCTTATTCTTGTGCAATCTTTGCCACCATCCATCTCCAGAACTGTTTTCACCTTGAAACTAAAACTACATACCAATTAAACAATAACTCTCCATTCCCCTCCTCTCTGTCCCTGGAAACCACCATTCTACTTTCCATCTCTGTGGTTTTGACTACCATAAGTACCTCATGTAAGTATAGTCACACAGTATCTGTCTTTTTTGTGATTGGCTTATTTCGCTTAACGTGTCTTCAATGTTTATCTACTCTACGTTGTAGCATATGTCAGAATTTACTTCCTTTTTAAGGCTAAATAATATTTTATTGCATGTCCCATTCTGCTTGTCCATTCATCTGTTGATGGACACTTGGGTTGTTTCCCTATTGTGAATAATGCTGCTGTGAACATGGGTGTAGAAATATTTCTTTGAGACCCGGCTTTCATTCTTTTGTGTATACACCCAGAAGTGGAATTGCTGGATCATATGGTAATTCTATTTTTAATTTTTTGCCCTCGTACTGTTTTCTATACCAGCAGTACCATTTTATGTTTCCACTAACAATGCACAGGGGTTCCAATTTCCCTACATCCTCACCAACAGTTATTATTTATGTTTTCTTGATAGGAGTCATCCTAGTGGATGTCAGGTGTTATCTCATTCTGTTTCTGATTTGCATTTTCCTACTGATTAGTGATATTAAGCATCTTTTCATGTGCTTGTTGGCCATTCATACATCTTCTTTGGAGAAATGTCCATTCAACTCCCTTGCCCATTATTTAATCAGGTTGTTTGATTTTCTGTTGAGTTTTAAGAGATCTATATATACTCTGGATATTAATCCTTTATCAGATATGTGATTTGCTAACATTTCTTCCCATTCAGTTAGTTGTCATTTCACTCTGTTGATAGTGTTCCTCAATGCAAAGAAGTTTTTAATTTTCAGGAAGTCTAATTTGTCTATTTTTTTCTTTTGTCACATGTGCTTTTCAAGAATTAATTGACAAATACAGTGTCATGAACATTTTGCCCTACTATAAAGTTTTAGCTCTGATATTTAGATCTTTGATCCATTTGGGGTTAATTATTGTATACGGTGTTAGGTAAGGGTCCAACTTCATTCCTTTGCAAATGGATATTAAACTTTTATAGCACCATTTGTTGAAAAAAAGACTTTACCAATGAATGGTCTTGACATTGTTGTTGAAAATCATTTGACCATATACGCAAAGATTTATTTCTGAGCTATATATTTCACTCCATTGGTCTATATGTCTGTCTTTTTGCCCATATCACATTGTTTTTATTACTGTAGCTTTTTAGTAAGAAATCAGGAAGTGATCCAACTTCCTCCAACTTTGCTCTTTTTCAGGATTGTTTTGACTATTCAGGTCCCTTGAGATTCCACATTAATTTTAGGATGGATTTTTCTGTTTCACAGAAAACATTATTGGGATTTTGATAGAGCCTGTATTGAATCTCTTCATTACTTTGATATCCTAAAAATATTAAGTTTTCCAATCTATTAACACGGAATACCTTTTGATTTATTTGTCTTTTTAATTTCTTTTTGCAGTATTTTGTAGTTTCTATGTTACAATTTTTTCAACTCCTTGATTAAATTAATTTTTGATGTTATTGGAAATAGAATTATTTTCTTAATTTATGTTTCAGATTATTAATTTTTAGTGTATAAAAATGTAACTCATTTTTATGTGTTGATTTTGTATCCTACTATTTTGGTAAATTTGTTTATGAATTCTAACAGAAGTGGGGTTTTTCTACATATAAGATCATATCAGCAATGAACAAGATAATTTTACTTCTTTATAATTTGGATGCCATTTATTTCTTTTTCTTAACTAATTAATTTGGTTAGCACTTCTAATATTATGTTGAACAAAAGTGGCAAAAACAGTCATCTTGCTTTGTTCATGATCTCAGAGGAACGCTTTGCGTCTTTCACCACTGAGTGTGATGTTTGTTGTGGGTTTTTCACATATGATTTTTATTATGTTCAGGTAGTTTCCCGCTCTTCCGAGTTTGTTGAATGTTTTTTTCATGAAAAGTTGTTGAATTTTTCAAGGGCTTTTTCTGCATCAATTGAGATGATCATATGTGGTTTTCCCTTCATTCTGTTAATGTGATGTATTATATTGATCAATTTTCATAAAACATCCTTGCATTCCAGGGGAAAAATATGACTTGGTTATGGTGTGTAATCCTTTTACTGTGCTATTAAATTTGGTTTGCTAGTATTTTGTTGAGGATTTTTGCATAAATGTTCATAAGGAACATTGATCTGTTGTTTTCTTTCCTTGTAGTGTCTTTGTCTTACTTTGGTATCTGGGTAAAGCTGACCCAATAGAATGAGTTGGAAAAGGGTCCCTCCTCTTCAATTTTTTTGAAAAATTTGAGAAGAATTGGTATTAGTTCTTCTTTAAATATTCAGCAGAATTCACCACTAAAACCATCAGGTCCAGGGCTTCTCTTTCTTGAGAGATTTTTGATTACTGATTCAATCTCCTTACTATTATAAGTCTATTCCAATTTTCTATTGCTTTGTGATTACTCTTGTTAGGTTTTGTGTTTCTAGGAATTTGCCCATTCTAGGTTATCCAATTTTTTGACATACAGTTTTTCATAGCATTCACTTATAATCCTTTCTATTGCTGTAGAATCAGTAGTAATGTTTCCACTTTCATTTCTGATTTTAGTAATTGGAGACTTCTCTTTTTTATTAGTTAATCAAGACAAAGATTCATCAATTTTATTGATCTTTTCAAGGAACTAAATTTTGGTTTCATTGATTTTTAAAATTATTTTTCTAGTCACCGTTGCATTTATCTCTGCTGAAATCTTTATTATTTCCTAGCTTTGGGTTTAGTTTCTTCTTATTATTCTAGTTCCTTAAGTTGTGTACTTCGGTTGTTGATTTGAGATCTTTCTTATTTTTTAATAGAAGCATTTCTAGCTACCAATTTCCCCAGCAGCACTGCTTGTGCTGTGCCTCATAAGTCTTGGCATGTTTTGCTTTTATTTTCATCCCCCCTAAGTAAATTCTAATTTCCCATGTGATTTCTTCTTTGATCAACTGGTTGCTTAAGAGTGTATTGTTTAATTTTCATAAACTTGTGAATTTTCTGGTTTTCCTTCTGTTATTGATTTCTAACTTAATCTTGCTGTGGCTGAAGTTATTTTGTATAATACATATCTTTTTCAGTCTATTGGTACTTAATTTGTGGCCTAACATATGGTTTATCCTAAAGAATTCCTATGTATACTTTAGAAGAATGTGTATTCTCTTGTTGTTGGGTAGTATTCTGTATATGTCTGTTAGATTTAGTTGATATATTGTATTATTCAAGTCCTCTGTTTCTTTGGTTATCTTCTCTCTGATCGTTCTCTCTCTTATTAAGTGTAAGGTACTAGGGTCAGCCTGGTGGCATAGTGGTGAGTTCACACTCTCCACTTTGGTGATCTAGCGTTCACAGGTTTGGATCTCAGGCATGAACCTACACACCACTTGTTAAACCATACTGTAGTGGCATCCCACAGAGAAATTAGAGAAGGATTAGCATGACTGTTATCTCAGAGAAAATCTTCCTCAAGCCAAAGGGGAAGACTGGCAACGGATGTTAGCTCAAGGCCAATCTTCCTCACCAAATAAATAAATAAAAAAGTGAGGTATTGAAGTCTCCAACTATTATTATAGAAATGTCTATTTCTCCCTTCAATTCTGCCCATTTTTGCTTCAAATATTTTGATGGTCTGTTATTAGGAGCATAAAATTTTATCATTGTTATATAGTCTTGCTGTATTAAAACTTTTATTAATATATATTATCCTTGTTTGTCTCTCATTAACACTTTCCATCTTAAACCTATTTTGCCTGATACTAGTATAGCCACCTCCGCTCTCTTTTGGTTACTATTTGCATGGAATATGTTTTCCAGCCTTTCCAACGTTTCAACCTATTTCTGGTTTTGAATCTAAAATAAGTCTCTAGTAGACAGCACATAGCTGAATCATGTTTTTTTTTTAAGCCTCGCAGTGCATAGTTGTATATTCTTAGTTGTGGGTCTTTCTAGTTGTGGCATGTGGGATACCGCCTCAGCATGGCTTGATGAGCGGTACCACATCCATGCCCAGGATTCGAACCGACAAAACACTGGGCCACCTGCAGCAGAGCGTGCGAACTTAACCACTCGGCCATGGGGCCAGCCCCCTGAATCATGTTTTTTATCCATTCTGCTCATCTCTCTTTTTATTGGAGAGTTTAACCCATTAACATTTAAAGTAATTACTGATAAGGCAAGTTTAAATTCTGTCATTTTGCTGTTTTGTTCTATATGCCTTATAGCTTTTTTTGTTTCCTATAATATCGTATCTTTTGTGTTTCATTGATTTTTTGCAGTGAAATGTTTTGTTGTATTCAATAAGTATTTTCTTTGTGGTTGCCATGGATATTACATTTAATATCCTAGAGTTACAGTACTGTATTTTGAATTTATACCAGTTTAACTTCAATAATATACAAAAACTCTGCTCATATACAGCTTTGTCCCCCCTTTCATTTATTTATGTCAAAAATTACACCTTTGTACATTGTGTGTCCAAAAACATAAACTTAAAATTGTTTTTATTTCATTAGTCTCTTAAACTATGTAGAAATAAAAATGTGGAGTTAGAATAATACTAGCTTTTACACTAATAATTGTTTTTTTTTAAAAAACGTATGTCTCAAATCATGTAGAAAAAAAGTGGAGTACTGGAATCATTATTTATTCATATGGCTTTGATTTACTGTCTAGTGTCCTTTTACTTCAACCTAAAGAACTCCCTTTAGGATTTCTTAAAGAGCAGGTCTAATGGTAATGAACTCACTCAGCTTTTGTTTATCTCAAAATATCTTAATTTCTCCTCACTTTTCAAAACTATATCAAGTTTTGCCACATATAGGATTCTTGAGTTAACAGTTTTATTTTTTTTCTTTTAGCACTTTGAATATATCAGTCCACTGCCTTCTGGCCTCTAAACTTTCTGATGAGAAATTTGCTAACATTCTCATTGAGGATCCCTCATATGTGATTAATCACTTCTCTCTTGTTGCTTTCTAGATTCTCTCTGCTTTGTCTTTCAGCAGTTCGATTATATGTCTCAGTGAGAATCTCTTTGAGTTCATTGTACTTAGATTTCGTTGAGCTTTTAGATGTTTATGCTCATGTTGTTCATCAAATTTGGGGAGGTTTTGGCCATTATTTCTTCAAATAACTTCTCTGCCCTTTTCTTTTTCTCTTCCCTTCCTGGGATCCCCACAATGCATGAAGTGTCCACTTGATGGGCCCCATGAGTTCCTTGGACTCCGTTTGCTTTTCTTCAATCATATTTCTTGAGGTTGCTCAGACTCAACAATTTCAATCCTATCTTCAGATCTGCAGATTCTTTCTTTTATCTGCTCAAATCCGCCTCTGAATCCCTCTAGTAAACTTTTCATTTCAATTATTGCAATTTTCAGCTAATTTATTTTTGGTTTCTTTTTAGGTTTTTCTATCTCTTTTTAATATTTCCATTTTGCTCACATATTATTTTCTCGACTTTCTCTCATCTTCCTTTAGTTCTTTGATCATCTTTAAGACAGTTTGAAATCTTTGTCTACTAGATCTGCCATCTGTTCTTTCTCAGGGTCAGTTTCTATTGGTTTACTTTTTTCTTTTTAATGAGCCCTACCTTCCTGGGTTTTTTTGTATGCCTTCTGATTTTTTGTTGAAAATTGGACATCTGAATCTAACAATGTGACAACTCTGAAAATCAGTTTTTCCCCTTCCGCGCAGTTTTCTGTTTTTGTTTTTTTATCTTTGTTTTCTTGATTGATGTAGGCTGTCTCCATGCTGAGCAACAGCCTGAGGTGTAAACTGAAGGTCTTCTCAGGTCTTTTCTGGCCTGCTCCTTTCCCTGGCATGCACAGTGACTTTCTATGTTCCCCTTTAAATGCAGTTGCTTTTGGATGTTCTAGTCTTTAATGTCTATCTTCCAAAAGAGGAAAAAGAAAAAAATGAATAAGGAGGTCAGGGCACTAGCCCTTTAAATCCCCTGGAAGTCACTTCAGTTGAAAGAGGAGGGGCTTACAACGAGTGGGCTCCAGAATGGCTGCACAACTCTATGTGTGAACCTCCCTAAGCAAAAGCAGCCATCAACAGTCAGAGCACAGATCCTCAATATTTGGAGGACAGAGTCCTTACTGCTCACTATGACTCCATTTAACTGTGTGGAAACTGCTTCAGGAACACATGCACAGTTGCCCACCACAGGGCTGGAGGTGTACTATGGGCAGCTGCTGCTAAACTAAGAGCTAAGATTGACTGGAATGAACTACAACTCATTGTCCAGGCCACGCTGTGGAAGTTGCGAGCCTTCAGTTGATTCCAGAGTTCCAAAACAGTTACATCAGACAGATTCTGCACTGCCATTGTTGTCTGGGTGGGCAGATGGATTCCTGGTGCTTCCTACTCTGCCATATTCCTGGAATTCGCCTCCTCAAACAAACAGTTTTGAACACACACTATGTTCTAGACAGTAGGAAGCCCCTTTCCTGGAGGAGCAATCTAGTGAGAACAGAAAACAACAACAGAACAAAAAATTAATTATACAGAATGTTACAATGAGATACATTTTTGGGGGGGAATACAGAAGGGTGAGGAGGACTGGGAACGTGTTGGGGAGGGTGTGACTGTAAACGGAGCACTCAGCGTAGGCTTCACTGAGAAGGTGAGATTTGAACAGACGAAGAAGGAAATCAATGTAGAAGGAAGGTCGGGGATCAGAGTACACGCAGCCACAGCTGCACATTTATTCCAAACGGACTCACTTAGGGAATGGTGTCCTGTAGAGAAAGAGGGAGAGAAAGAAAGAGTTTTTTAAGTTATTCCTTTTATTGCCAACAAACTATTTTAATTCCTTTCTTCAAGGACTCCTAGTTCAGAACCAGTCGTTTTGACTAGAATGTTTTAAAATTATTCTTTAATCAAATGTTTTGAGGTTTTATAACCTGGATTTTTGTCCCAAACTTTGACTGTTTCTTAAATTGTACTACATTTAAATTAAAAATAGAAAAATATTGCTCATTGTTTTGTTTTCTTAAAACAATGTGCTTATCTGAGGAAGAAAACAAATTTAAAATCTTGTATTTTCACTGCATGATAGATACTCTTCTAATGTAAACATTTTTTCCACAATTTTTTCATTACACAGCTCTTTCCTTGAACGTCATACATGTGCTAAAAAGTTAGAAAAACCTGGGACTCTCTTAACAATATCTGAATAAGAAATAAAGAGCCATAGCAATAACAAAGCTTTCTTTCATCATAATATTCAGGAAAAGTGATTTATTTTGTCTTTTTACTAAGACTGAAAAAGAGCCAGAATTATTACTATTTGCCAGAGATGAAAGAGAATCTTCAGTTAATAGAGACACCAAGTCTAAGAAAGGTGTAGATACGTCAGTGTTTTTTTGATACAGAAAATGCATATAGGAGTACCTACTTTTGATAAATATGACCACAATATGCATTACTCCGAAATATGAGCATAAAGTAATAGACAACATGAAAAATATTGAAAACGTTAATGATCTATTAAGGCATTGTAGGTAGAAAGCAAGTGTCGAACCACATAACTTTTATATTCCTATTGTAAAGATATTTCAAAGTATTGAAAATTGCATATGGGAACAAAGTTTGATTAGAATTAATAAAGGTGATCCCAAGGACAGTTTTTTAGTTGTTTGTATAAACGATTCAGATTAATATAAAATATTCAAGGGGTAATTAAATTTTTAAGTCTAGAGAAATCACTTATTTTCAAATTGGATTGTTACACATTTCCCGATGTTAATTTTGATCATGGTTTTGCAGGCTTATTTTGTAAGTCTTGTATTATGTTTTCTAAAGGATGTATTTGTTAGTGCTTGAATTTCATTAGTATTGAAACAGTTTAATTTGTATAATATTAATATGGCAATATTATACTTATTAATTCTACTTAAAGTAGAATTTTAAAGCATAAATTTAAAAATTTATATGAAAGCATAAATCTGAAATTTCAAGTATATTAATGTAAAAGAAATATGGATAAAGTAGCTTTGTATGTTTGAGCCATATTTTCATTAACAAATAATACATTGTCATGACCTTAAATCCTAGAGACAAGAAAACAAATATTGAATGATAAACTGATTAACTAACAAAGCATAAATCTGGCTCTCAATCCTGTTTATTATAAGTAGATTCTTATAGATGATCTGACGATAAGTAATCAATTATCTTTCAATAACTTGATCAAAATAATATTTAGTAAATCCAACTTGGTAAATGGACTTTTTCTTTTCCTATACATTCTTTAATGCAACAAATGAGCGAGAACTACAAGATTATCTTTTAAATGTGAGCAAATGAATAATTTTGGAATTAAAATGTGGATTTGTATTACTTCTCTCAGAAAGACTGAGGTCGCATGATTGAAAGTCCTTCAGAAGATGAGAAAATGTGATTATTAAGGGGTTATCTCACTGCAGTGCAGTAGGAACAACATAGTCTAGCTAGAATGCAAAACTCTCAAATACGAGAGAGTTTTCAAATTAGGGTTGAATGGTAAGGAAACTGTTAATGGGAATTCTAGGCCACAGGAGTACGGAATGTGGAAAACTAGGCAATCTCATACAGATGGCTATAGTGAAAAGCCCCATTTAATTGACGATAAAAGTGTTCAGAAAGCATTTCATCAATAAGTTGATGATGTGGAGTATCTGTTTGCCAGGCAATGGGATTCCACAGGTCAAGAAAAAGTCAGTTAGGAGATTGTTTTAGTTGGTGTGTTATTTAATATTTTTGAATTAATGAGTAAATAAACATACTGATTAAATATTATCTCATTTAATTCTTAAACACTGATCTGACAAAAGTACTATTGCATCATTCCAATTTCAAAGATGAGAAAACTGTATCTTGGAGACATTATTAACTAACCCATCCAAGTTTGCATAACTAGTTCTTGAAAGAGCCAAACCTCATACCTAAGCAATGTGGCTTCAAAGTGGGTCCCCTAACTTCTGTCCTGTGCTGCTCCAGAGCTGAGGGCTGGGATAGTAAGTGCACCTGGACCGTTTCTGAACACTCTGTTTCTACAGATGTTACCTCAGATCACGTGAGCACTGCTGGCAACACCATCACGCAGTGAACACAAACGGAGCATGCAATAAACCAATCATTCCTAAGTCTTTTCTTTCCCACATGTCACTGAGTTACATTTGTTTTCAATTTGTATTTTTTAAGCTGTAAATGTAGAATTTTACATTTGTCCCTCTTACAGTTCATTTTAGTAGACGTCATTCCGGATCATCCTGAAAATTATTCTGTAATCAAATGAATAGATATCATTCCCAGGCAAATTTTAAAAGGAAATTTAACTAAACCTAGCAGAATGTGAGGTGCAGATTATACAAATTTAAGAGTGTAACATCATTTAAAGAGATATTACAAAAGACGATCACACCATAACTAGTGATATCAAAAGGAAAGAATTTCGACTGAGTGAGGCTCTTTTCTAATTAATCAGTTACACAGGTATAAAGGTAAACCTTTTTTACTGTTTTAATGAGTACCTGCTCTAATTATCAAAAGGGTTTAATTGAACTTGAGGTTAAGGAGCTTCCATAATGTCTTAACTTGTGAGGTTATCAGAATGAGTCTACTTTTGGCAGAAAAAGAATCATCTCTTCCAGTGTTAAACTACCTAATTGTTATAAACAGTGGTAAATTAAACAGGATTCTATTTTTATGTTATAAAATTCACTAGAATCTTCATGCCCTTACTAATCCACTTGTGGCTTTTTCACCCTTATGGCATCACTACATAAATAAATAAGGGGCCAGCCCATGGCAGAGCAGTTAAGTTCACATGCTCTGCTTCAGGGGCCCAGGGTTTCCCTGGTTTGGATCCCGGGCGCGGACAACGGCACCGCTCGTCAGGCCACGCTGAGGCAGCGTCCCACATGCCACAACTAGAAGGACCTACAACTAAAATATACAACTATGTACTGGGGGGATTTGTGGAGAAAAAGCAGGGAAAAAAAAGAAGATTGGCAACACTTGTTAGCTCAGGTGCCAAACTTTAAAAAAAAAACGCAAATAAATGAATAAATGTAAATAAATAGATGATCCTAAATTTATATATACTTTTCTTAATTCTTTTGACAAATATTTATTCTTCAATGCCTACTATAAGTCCACCCATCCGAGTTTAGGGTACTTGGGTAATTTCCGAAACAGTCGGATGCTTTGTAATGGATTATTTGCAACTGCCCAGAAGTTGGTTACTGAGTATATTTCTGGAATCTTCCCTTGCTAATTAGAGCATTCCATTGAACCCCAAAGGGCACTAAGCCTGCTATTCACAATAGAATCAAGGTGTGCACGACTGCTATATAATTCAAGCAAAAAGTCTTGAAATATATTTGCCCAACCAGAAAACAGGAGAAAATTATTTTTACTCTCCTCTCCCAGCAATATGCAAATTTGAAAGAGAAATGTAGTTCTCTTTCGTGTCATATTGATTGTTTTTGGCTTTCACTGACTCAAACAGGGTAGATCAATGTGGGATTTTACACTTTGCTAGAAACAGCTTCAGCAAAACATGTTATTATTAGCTTCATTTGCAATTATAATTTCAAAGGCATACTTTGCCGCAGCAGGAAGAGAGGCCAAGGAAAATAGAAACCATAAATGAGAGACAGCTTGGCCATGGGTTCAGGTGCCAGCAATTTGTTCAGTTCATTGGATTCAGGTTGCCTCTTCCCGTTTTTGATAATAATTCCATTTTCCCTTATGAATGAACAAAGTGATTGTTTTAAAGGAATTTTAAATTTGGAAAATTCCTGTTTTTAACAACTAATACACAGGTCCCAGAATATTTATCACTGTTAAAAAAAATTGTTTAGATTTTTCTCATTTGTATTCTAGCTCCCTCTATAAATATGTACTCACTGTTGTTACCCCATTAAAATACTGAGAAGTCCCCTAATTTCTGTGTGCCTGGTGATCCTTGGTCAGTTGGTAATGAATGAATCTAGTCAAACCATATGACTATCAAACACTGCTCTCAAAGACACAGGGCCTTTATCCCATAGCAGTGTTCCTTCCTCCAGGTTAATTCAGGATTTGGGGTTCATAGGACAACTTCTAGGAGTTATTATTTGTGAAATATAGAAATTCAGGTAAACTTTCAAATTTTGATTTTTTTTTTTTTTTGCTCTGCAAGCACAAAAGATACATATAACTAGTTAAACTATGTATATTTTGTCTCAGTAAGGTAATAAGGGACATTCCTCAAAGAATTTATCTTGGATGTTTTTTCCTTCCAGTGAATATCGGGTAACGAATCACTCATTACAGCACAGCTCTGTTGCAAGAGAGAATGATTGCAATGTGCTCACTGTAAAACAATGGCGGTGGGAGCAGCTTTTTTTGTTGTTGTAGTTGTGTTGTGATTGCTACGTTGTTTGAACATGTATCAAAGATTTTATTTAACTTATTGATTAATGAAGAAACCAGTAAGAGATTACAACTGGTTCCTGTCCTCACTTTTTTAACGGGCTATCTGCCTCAGTTTCTCATTACCTTTCCATTTCCCCAACTGGATTTGGAGCCTTGGTTGATTCTCAGCCTATTTGTCAATCTTTCTAATCTTTGACAGTGTCTTCTCTTTGGGAAAAAAACTCTTGTTCCCATTATCCATATGGCTTTCTCTAAATCATAAAGTTCTTGCCTACTTAATTTTGAGTGTTGTCTCCCTAAGAAATCTGGCTACTGTATCTCACCCACCAGATAC